ACAAAATCCATAAATCTTAGCTCAGATTGATTCAAACCAGAAATTTTGTACTTTGTTGTGTATTTAATGTGTTGTTTGTGATTATACAAAGATACAGTTCGCCAACCTCGGGCTGATTTTAGGTCTAACAGAACAGTCCAAAGGTGTAGGTGAGATATCTGATACACTTACCTAACAGAGAGGACATATCAACTCAAGTATTTTCGTAATTTTTTTTTCTTCATCAGATTTCTGATATGCTGGCAAGTGTTTAGGGCAATACCTGCCTCTCAACTATGGAAACAAATGAAGGACATTAGCTCGATACATACCATTGAAATATTTTTATCAATTCTCGCACGACTATTATAATGTTGTATTAGTTATACAAAATAAAACAAAAGGTATATTTGAGGCGATCTTGACATTCCATTTGAGGAAAATTGTGAAAGTAAAGAACTATTCATCCTTGGTTTATTGTTCTTTATCGTTGAACAGTTTCTACTCCAGTGTTCTGGTTTTTCTTTCCCGTTCACTACTCATAGTGGGAACAGTTTCTACTCCAGTGTTTTGATTTTTCTTTCACGTTCTCTACTTACAGTTGAACAGTTTCTACTCCTGTGTTCTGGTTTTTCTTTCACATTCTCTATTTATCGTTGAACAGTATCTACTCCTGTGTTCTGCTCTTCTTTCACGTTCTCTATCTATCGTTGAACAGTTTCTACTGCAGTGTTCTGGTTTTTCTTTCACGTTCTCTATTTATCGTTGAACAGTATCTACTCCTGTGTTCTGCTCTTCTTTCACGTTCTCTATCTATCATTGAACAGTTCCTACTCCTGTGTTCTGGTTTTTCTTTCACGTTCTCTATTTATCGTTGAACAGTTAATACTCCAGTGTTCTGATTTTTCTTTCACGTTCTCTATTTATCGTTGAACAGTTTCTACTCCAGTGTTTTGGTTTTTCTTTCACGTTCTCTACTCATTGTTGAACAGTTTCTAATCCTGTGTTCTGGTTTTTCTTTCACGTTCTCTATTTTTCGTTGAACAGTTTCCACTGCAGTGTTCTGGTTTTTCTTTCACGTTCTCTATTTATCGTCGAACAGTTAATACTCCTGTGTTCTGGTTTTTCTTTCACGTTCTCTATTTATCGTTGAACAGTTCCTGTCAGGTACAGGTTATTGTATTGTGTATTTGTACATGTACATGTATCCTTTTGTTTTCTTGAGTTTTCGTACGAGCTGATGTGTGACTGTGACTCTTTGTGTGTGGTTACTTCTGTGATAGAATTTTGACTCTTTGTGCGTTTTCGTTTTGTTACTATGCGTGTGTGCTTCATGTGAAATTTTGTGTGTGCTTTTTGTGAGTTTTTGTGTGTGCTTTTTGTGAGTTTTTGTGTGTGCATTTTGTGTGTTATTTTGTGAGTTTTTGTGTGTTATTTTGTGTGTTATTTTGTGAGTTTTTGTGTGTTATTTTGTGTGTTATTTTGTGAGTTTTTGTGTGTGCATTTTGTGTGTTATTTTGTGTGTTATTTTGTGTGTTATTTTGTGAGTTTTTGTGTGTTATTTTGTGTGTGTTTTTTGTGAGTTTTTGTGTGTGCTTTTTGTGAGTTTTTGTGTGTGCTTTTTGTGTGTTATTTTGTGTGTTATTTTGTGAGTTTTTGTGTGTTATTTTGTGTGTTTTTTGTGAGTTTTTGTGAGTTTTTGTGTGTTATTTTGTGAGTTTTTGTGTGTGCTTTTTGTGTGTTATTTGTGGGTTATTTTGTGTGACTTTCTATTTGTGTGAAAATGCTTTTCTATGTATATGTGTTCATATTGTGATTATTTGTAAGTTCGTTTTTTTGTGTGTTCTCGTGTGTTACTAATTGTGTGTTAATGTTTTGACTTTTGGTGTGCATTCAAGTTATGACCATTTTAGTGTTACTGTTGTTACAAAGTTTAATTGTTCATACCGTGATTATTACTGTGTTCTAGTGGTAAAATCATTACTGAGTGCTCGTGTTATGACTATTACTGAGTGCTCGTATTATAACTATTACTGAGTGCTCGTGTTATGACTATAACTGAGTACTCGTGTTATAACCATTACTGTGTGTTCGTGTTCTTACTATTACTGAGTGTTCGTGTTCTTACTGAGTGTTCGTGTTATTACTGAGTGTTCGTGTTATTACTGAGTGTTCGTGTTATTACTGAGTGTTCGTGTTATTACTGAGTGTTCGTGTTATTACTGAGTGTTCGTGTTATTACTGAGTGTTCGTGTTATTACTGAGTGTTCGTGTTATTACTGAGTGTTCGTGTTATAACTATTACTGAGTGTTCGTGTTATTACTGAGTGTTCGTGTTATTACTGAGTGTTCGTGTTATTACTATTATTGAGTGTTCGTGTTATTACTATTACTGAGTGCTCGTGACTTACTGAGTACTCTATTACTGAGTGTTCGTGTTATTACTGAGTGTTCGTGTTATTACTATTACTGAGTGTTCGTGTTATGACTATTACTGAGTGTTCGTGTTATTACTATTACTGAGTGTTCGTGTTATTACTATTACTGAGTGTTCGTGTTATTACTATTACTGAGTGTTCGTGTTATTACTGAGCGCTCGTGTTATAGCTATTACTGAGTGCTCGTGTTATAACTATTACTGAGTGCTCGTGTTATGACTATTACTGAGTGTTCGTGTTATTACTGAGTGTTCGTGTTATTACTGAGTGTTCGTGTTATTACTATTATTGAGTGTTCGTGTTATGACTATTATTGAGTGCTCGTGTTATAACTATAACTGAGTGTTCGTGTTATTACTATTACTGAGTGCTCGTGTTATAACTATAACTGAGTGTTCGTGTTATTACTATAACTGAGTGCTCGTGTTATAACCATTACTGAGTGTACTTGTCATGACTATAACTGAGTGCTCGTGTTATTACTATTACTGAGTGCTCGTGTTATGACTATTACTGAGTGTTCGTGTTATTACTGAGTGTTCGTGTTATTACTATTACTGAGTGTTCGTGTTTTAACTATAACTGAGTGTTCGTGTTATTACTATAACTGAGTGCTCGTGTTATTACTATTATTGAGTGTTCGTGTTATTACTGAGTGTTCGTGTTATTACTATTACTGAGTGTTCGTGTTATTACTATTACTGAGTGTTCGTGTTATTACTATTATTGAGTGTTCGTGTTATGACTATTACTGAGTGCTCTTGTTATGACTATTACTGAGTGCTCGTGTTATAACTATAACTGAGTGCTCGTGTTAAAACTATTACTGAGTGTTCGTGTTATGACTATTACTGAGTGCTCGTGTTATGACTATTACTGAGTGTACTTGTTATGACTATAACTGAGTGCTCGTGTTATAGTTATATTTATGTGCTGGTGTAGTGTGTTGGATTGATAAAAGAAACCATATAAACAGAGTTTTATTGCTTGCTCGTCTAGCTGTTCAGTAAAATCTTTGTAGTACTATCACATCTAAGTTACAATCTTATGGTGAAACTGTTAACTCAAGAAGTGGGACCCATATTATGTGGATTTTGGAGAACTCCAAATAACTTTTGACTAATCTTTACCACACACTTCTAAAGACATTTCCTCTATAAACATTTTCCACCCTGTACACTACCATATTCCATTCTAGTCTGAAAGAACGCCTTCGTTCACTAGTTATGAGAGCTTTCTTTTTCGAGAATGGTGAACGGTGGTATAACTATATGGTTGTGAGATATACTGAAGCTTACATCGTGATATTACGTCCAAATCAAAGAAGAAATATACAGAGGACAAAGCGTAAAAATAATCGTGTTTCTGGTTGACAACATCTTCATCGTGCTTGGTGGTAAGATCTTTCAATAGACTATTGGTATGGTAAAAAACTGTAACTCTCCTGGCTGATTTGTTTTTTGTTTTCATACGAGGCTGAATTTATCTAAGAACTTAACAAAAAGAGGTCAGAAAGGGCTTGCACATTAATTGAATTTCACTTTCATGACATCTTGTTTCTAAATAACAAGATGTTTATTGACCAAGACCATCGCATACATCCATCAGAATTGAAAATCTAGGACACGACAAACACTTTGATCTCTTCCTTCAACGAAACCGACATGGACAGTTTTCCACCTAGCTGTGTAATGATTTCAATTTCTCTATTGTGAATTTTCCATTTCTGGATAGCAACATTTCATGTCGCTGTTCAATTCAATATTCGAAGGCATGTTCCCATTATCACGATTTTCGGCGAGAAGTCATCAACTGGCATCTTACGGACATACTCTAAATACAGTGTTTCTTAAAAGTATAAATGTATTGACCGTGTTTTACTTCCACTATTAAGAATTTTAAAAGATGCAGATTATGGACAAATTTTTCATTCATCTCTTTGACAGGAGTATTCTATTACTTTGTTAGGTATGAAGTTGGACTTGTTTGATGCTCGTTTGTTTGCCCGTTGATGAAACAGAAAAAGCTCACTCTTCCGAAACACATGGTCTTATTCTCCTAGGAGTCTTTGTGAATTTTTTTCCCATATTATTTTTTTGGATTATAAGTATATTCACTTGTTGTGATGCTCTTGTGTTTGGCTATCAATTTGTATGATCGTGCTGTGACTGTATGGTGTAGACCATCATCACTGGGCTCAGCCGTTACAACAATGAAGCGTGTGACTGGCCCAGTCATCTCTAGACACCTTGGAGAAGCCCATCGTCAGTGGCCAAAGCCTTCCTAAGCCTGAATCGGTTGATTATGCCAAACGCATATTGTCGTACCATTTTTCAAAAATAAAGCACGGCCGCCATGATTGTCACTTAATCTATTTTCTAATCGTTTATAACATTGCTTTTTCAAAATTGACTATTTAGATACTTACATGACTCATTAGTGTATGGTTTGGTTCTTTGTGATAGACGGCCATGCTTCTTTCACTTGTTCAACACCGTTATATTTTTCTGCATATTACACAAAAAAATGAATAATTTAAAAAGCAACACACAACAGACAAACACCAATTATACAGATGCGATTTTATTGACTAAGAATGGATTCCTAAAATAAGAAATGAAGTTTAATAATTCTTCATTACATTGTAAAAATGTACCCGTTTCTAAGCAGTACTTACAAGTTAAAACGTGAAACTATTACAAAATCTCGCTCATAGGACAATAGTCATATTTCTAGTACAGTATTATATGACAGCCAAACGTGCATCATTGCATAAGATGTACTATATCATATAAGCAGCCATTGCGGTCACTTTCAATGATATAATAGATCGTGATTAAAACGATATGGTACTATCTGTCAACATATTAAAATGAATAACACTACTAATATAACCATATTGTGTAAAAATCAAACTCCATTACTGTAAAATATCATCAGATTTGAAAGATTGAGTGATATCTGAAAAACCCCAGAAAAAATTCTCTTGGTATCGTTAACGAAACAATAGTAACAGAAACCATAATAAGACTTATGTTCTTGTTTATGATAACGTCTTTTGGTGTTCATTGACGAAACTCCTAGCATATGTTTACAAATTTGAGATGCTTTGAAGTCAAAATGAGTTTCTATAAAAATATACTGACGGTAAGGCACTGCTTCCAAATTGTCTATCAAGGTTCACAGGTGTATTTGAAGAGAATGCCAAACATGTTCTTTGTCAATATATTTAACAGGGTATTAGGTAAAATCAAGCGCGCTTAGGATCATTATTACAAGCTTTTTTTTTCAGAACATAGCATAAATATTCTAAATCATGAATAAGGAATTCTAGGATATAGGCTCTATTGTGAATTTGTCCGAAGTTTATAGAATATGTATGGGATTACGATATGATGAGAGCTTATATGCATGTATCACAGACGCTTCAGAAACAAATCTTTTCAGTACAATTATTACATAATGGTTTACAAAAATGAATAACTCAATGATTTAAAGAGAAATGAAGTTGAAATTATAGGCCTTCTACGATTGTTCAAAAGTGTAAAAATGTTGTATCTATGTTTTAATTACCTGTACAGATGTCATATATATTGTTATCATCACCTGTACAAATGTGGGATATCCATTGTCAACATCACCTGAACAAATGTGGCATTTCTATTGTCAACATCACCTGTACAAATGTGGCATATCTATTGTCAACATCAACTGTACAAATGTGGCATATCTATTGTCAACATCACCTGTACAAATGTCATATCTATTGTCAACATCACCTGTACAAATGTCATACCTATTGTCAACATCACCTGTACAAATGTCATATCTATTGTTATTATCACCTGTACAAATGTCATATTTATTGTTATTATCACCTGTACAAATGTCATATTTATTGTTATCATCACCTGTACAAATGTGGCATACCTATTGCTATCCACACCTGTACAAATGTGACATACCTGTTGTTTTCACCTGTAAAAAGTCAAATCTAATGTCATTCTACCTGTAAAATGTCATATATATTGTTACCACATGTAAAATGTCATATCTATTGTTACCACCTGTAAAATGTCATATATATTGTTACCACCTGTAAAATGACATATCTATTGTTACCACCTGTAAAATGTCATATCTATTGTTACCACCTGTAAAATGTCATATATATTGTTACCACCTGTAAAATGACATATCTATTGTTACCACCTGTAAAATGTCATATATATTGTAACCACCTGTAAAATGTCATATCTATAGTTATCACCTGTTAAATGTCATATATATTGTTTCCACCTGTAAAATGTCATATATATTGTTATCACCTGTAAAATGTCATATATATTGTTACCACCTGTAAAATGTCATATATTGTTACCACCTGTAAAATGTCATATATATTGTTATCACCTGTAAAATGTCATATATATTGTTTCCACCTGTAAAATGTCATATCTATTGTTACCACCTGTAAAATGCCATATCTATAGTTATCACCTGTGAAATGTCATATATATTGTTTCCACCTGTAAAATGTCATATATATTGTTATCACCTGTAAAATGTCATATATTGTTACCACCTGTAAAATGTCATATCTATTGTTACCACCTGTAAAATGTCATATCTATAGTTACCACCTGTAAAATGTCATATCTATTGTTACCACCTGTAAAATGTCATATATTGTTACCACCTGTAAAATGTCATATATAATATCGTTATCACATCATGTACAAATATCATTGTTTATGCTATTAGTACCAAAGTCTATCAGAAAGGTCCTTTATTCCGAAGAAACATGAAGCAGATGACTGCTGTGAGTTACAAAACAAGAATATAAGATGTACCTAAATGTTAAATGTACGGATGTAATTATTCTCAAAATACCAATGCATGGGCATTGTTTGTGTGGGTTTAGAATAAAAATAATGACGTGTTTTAAGTGATCTTTCAACAATACTATTTAACATACTCTAAAATGTATCCTAACTTATACTAACTATAATAAGTGACAGTGTTGAACATTTCTGTTATAAATATGATAGACTTTGTAGTCACCATGGAAACATAGACGTATATAAATATTCATTTCCCCGTGACTTTCAACTGGGAATTTAATGTTGGTCCACAAATAGAGTAATAGAGGTTATGAGCGACCATCCTACTTCCAACACTATATGATCTTTATCGGTAGAGGATATGAGAAATATTAGCACTGTCATGTGAAAATCGATATTCAAACATTCTTATATCATGGATGAAAAAATTCATGCAATAATTTCACTGCTATGAAAATAGCATCGAGGTAAGTTCTTAAGCCATATTTTGTAATATTAAAAGCAATTTCCAAAATGTGATATTGAGAATCCCTCTTTTACCCAACGGAACAAGTCTATCCTTTGCCTTTTTTCTATCCTTGCGTTCAAATACTTTCAGTTTGTTGATGTGAGAAAAGAAAGATCTCCAAAGTTAATGAGGCAATGGCATGTAGACTGTGAGGCTGTATTTTTTTACCGGCTAATAAATTAGTCTAAATCCATGACTTATTAGGAAATCAATAAAAATTAAATATCTACTCAGATAACAGTTTAAAGGCAAATTAAAACACATATAGAACAATAAGTTATTTGTAGCATTGATGAGCACATTTCTGTTCGTTGCTTGGTAAGAAAACATGACTTTGTACAGGATTATCATCATCATCATCATCACATAAATTACAATATATTTACAAGTTACATGATATATTCCATAGTATAACCGCAAGGTGAGTACATAAGCCTGCTGTTAATAAATACATATTCGGCACAATGTGATAATATGTAACCTTTGTAAAGGTCAGTTCTTATAAAAAAAATGTATTTATCTTGAATTGATGGATTTACATGCGTGGTTCTGGTGCAAACATCACCGATTCTATTTAACCATTTCCTGTTTGGTTGACAGGTCAGTCTGTCTCAACGTTGACCATTCCATGTTTATTATCATCAAGACCAAAGCACTCTTGGAAATGTCGAATTCTTAGGCTGTCTTACACATCCGGTGAATTTACACAGATTCACCAAAGGTTTGGTGAGTTGTAAGGCATATGTTGGCGTATGTTTGTGCATAAGTTTGACAAAAAGCACATGCAGATTGTAGTTTTATACATGTTTCTGTTTCTTACAGTTGTGAGACAATTGATTCATCTTATCCACTCTACAAATTATTTACACAAGTGCACTTCTTCTTCAAATAAACATTGTTTACAGTGGAAGTCACAACACCAAACTACCTGACATGCGCAGGACCGGTTATACGCCTTTGTTTGTACATTGTAGCCACGCCCACAACATATGGCGTCACAGTTCCGGTCTTTGTCACACTCCCTTCCTGTCGTGCCTTGTGAGTACCTACTTCGGGAACAGTAACTCGGTGAATCGTCCATGTACACCATGCTGCTTCCATAAGCACTTAAGAACGGACTCGGACGAATTGCGTTTGATATTTCACCTTTCGGTAGTTCATACTTTCCATATGATATATTGTTCTCTATCTCCACTTTCACTGCGCGTTCGTATTTCCGTTTTAAAATATTGCCGATCTTGTGGAATGGAGAGAGTTGTTGCCAGCACGTGCGGACCGTGCACGATCCGGAAACGCCATGACATTTGCACGTGGTGTTGACGTTGCTTCGAACAACCTGTAACACAAATAGAAGTATATTTATCAGTACCACGACATAAACAACACAGGTAGATAATAACGTAGGTAGGGAATTGTTATCATTACCACGACAAAAACAACACAGGTAGATAATAACGTAGGTAGGGAATTGTTATCATTACCACGACAAAAACAACACAGGTAGATAATAACGTAGGTAGGGAATTGTTATCATTACCACGACAAAAACAACACAGGTAGATAATAACGCAGGTAGGGAATTGTTATCATTACCACGACGAAAACAACACAGGTAGATAATAACGTAGTTAGGGAATTGTTATCATTACCACGACGAAAACAACGCCGGTAAATGATAACAAAGATAGGGGCGTTGTTATCATTACCACAATATAAACAACACAGGTAGATAATAACGTAGGTAGGGAATTGTTATCATTTCCACGACAAAAACAACACAGGTAGATAATAACAAAGGTAGGGGCGTTGCTATCATTACCACGACAAAAACAACGCCGGTAAATGATAACAAAGATAGGGGCGTTGTTTTCATTACCACAATATAAACAACACAGGTAGATAATAACAAGGGTAGGGGCATTGTTATCATTACCACGACAAAAACAACACAGGTAAATGATAACATAGGTAGAGACATTATTAACTTTACCACGACATCAACAACACAGGTAAATAATAACAAAGGTAGGGCATTGTTATCATTATCACGCTATAAACAACGCCGATAAATGATTACATAGGTAGGGACATTATTATCATTACCACGACATCAACAACAGGTAAATAATAACAAAGGTAGGGCATTGTTATCATTATCACGCTATAAACAACGCCGATAAATGATATATTTATGTCAATCAAAATTATGAGGCAATCCTAGTTTAATCGTTATGGAAGACCTTCCAGATTTTATGAAATTTTATTGAAAGGTCATGACTTTATTTGGCCCCATGACATAGACATTTTACAATTATAGATATTGTACAATAGGGTGTTTCAATAGACAGTATCATCTTATTTTATCTACCACAGAAAACATCATAGGAGGACAAATTGACAACAGGAAAGACAACAAGAGGACGACAAATTGATAAAACAGGAAGTGAGAGACCCTAGGGATCGTCACTTTAAATAGAAAGCCCACGGGAGAGAAGATATCAGGACGAGATTAGAGAAACAAGATGTAAAGAAAGACGTTGTAAAAACGGGAGATATATTGAAGGAGACAAAATGAAAAAGGGAGATCACAAAAAAGGAACCGCTTGGAGGATCCAACTACCGAAACCAGCACATGCGGCGTGTTGAACAATCGCCTTCAGTAAATAAATTTTCCTACACACAATTTCGTGTAATTGCTCAAGTAAAGAAAAAGCACGAGGTCATTACACTGGTGAGCTATCGCTTATCGAAATGTCGTGAGGCAATATAGACCCTATCAGCCGGAAACGGTGATTTGTTTCATGTGTAGTATATATATATATATATTGTGTCGATGTAAATGAAGGTAATAAATGAACAAATACACCGTTATTAACTATTTTACATAACTGGAGGATCAACGGCCACTTTCACTTGCCCCTAGCTATATACATGTACACAGTATACGCCCTTGTACAGCTCACACAGTGTTTTAAAAGCAATAGCTGCATTGGTGTCTAAAGAAGATAGATTCAGAGACTATGCTAATGTTATTTTAATGTTTAATGGCAATATCACCGCTAAACCATTTCAATTAATTTAGATTTCGATGTTGATTCAACAAGCAAAAGTTAAATAAAATTTCTGTCGCTTTACGACAAATAACATTCATTTAAAAAAAATCATTAAAAAAACCCAAAATACAAAACAAAAAAAAAAAAAAAAAAAAACAATGAATATATCCACATTGTGTATTTCATCTTAAAATAAAAACAAATTCTCACAAAATCTTGAATAAACAACACCACAACATCCTTTATCATCGGGAGTAGTGCCATGTTTTATATAATAAAACTATGAATAATATAATTCGGCATCATTTCTGACGGGAGGAATGCACAGGTACATGTCTTTTTCTTAGTTCACAGCTTGATCATAACAGATGACATTACTCATGCACGTGCCATAATTCATTATGGCGCGAAAACCTACATGACACATCACGTGACTAATGACGATGTAGTGAGACGGTGCGCCATACCAGGGAAGGCACGCGACTAAGATTTAATTTATTTTCCAACTCCAAAGAAAATGAGTCTTTGATTTGTATAAACATTTTAAAATGTGTACATAATAAATCTCGTGTATGTTGACAGATCAGTGAATGTTTGTAAGTAAATATTTTTGTTTTTTCTTTGTGACTTATGTAGCAGGGGGTCGTTAAGAGAGAACTATTGAACGCAGTATACCCTTTCACTCAAGACTTCCCTCCTACCTTTCAGTGCATGTACAGCATGTCAGTGCCCTGAGCACTATCGTGGAACATCAACAGTAAAACTGTCTTAATCTGTTAACATAGCAGTCATGTCCACGCCCATTAATAACGCCGTATTTATACCACTTGCATTCTTCAGAACAACGTAGTATGTTCGTGGTAGTTGTTTCAAATAACTCAGAATTGTTTTGTTTCGACGCCTGCATAATGTGATAAGTTTATACACAACTGGTGAAAAAGGAAAACTGAAGTTTAAAACAAGTTCATAATGACATACTTGGCTGAATTTCGTACGACGTTAACTGCACAACTTGTAAATGCTAACATAACTTGGTTTCTTACATAGAAACTACTGTATAATTCAGTAGTGTAACGTACATAGATAATAATATACTTTAGTATTGGGCTTGTTATGGCATTTATGGTCTTATAAATGATAACCTTTATATACAAACATCACACTGCGCGACAGATGGTATGTTTGCGTTAAGAAAATGTTTGTCACGTATGGACAGCATTATTGATGAAAAAGCATCACCTTTTTTATGTTCTCAATAGTGACGTCATAATGGTCACGCGCTATATGTCATTTATGATATTATACATGGCCATTTTTCTGTACAGATGTGAATATATAACATTAAATTAATTTAGATAAACAAATATTCATTTATTTCGACATCTAAATGATTGTCTAGTATTCGTTGTAACGTTACGTCTGGTGTTAGACAGACGAAGTACAGAACTACGATTTAACATGTAGATCACACTACCTATATATTATCTTATATAACTTATGTCACTTTGCTATCTTAATCTGTTTTCGAAAACCAACATGCATCGTTGCTAAATACAAAGTCCCGTTACTGTATACAACAGTACTCTGACACTTGTCGGTCACCGCATGTCTTCTACAACCATAGATTTACTTATCACACTCTGACTTATACGGAGTTCCGATGTATGAAAAAGAACATGCATCAGACTCGAAGTAGCGTATGCGATGTGGCATTTATGGGTCAGGTTTGGTGTGGAGGAGCGAGCTGTGGGGTATAGAGAATTGGTAAATGTTTACATGGTCAGATCATTACCGTATCACTGTTGATGAGGGATTGCCACTGTATGGCACAAAATATTAGGTGTTTTTTAAAATATTTTTTTCACGTTTAATCTGGTCGTTCTGTCTTATAAAACGATGGATAAATTCATAATGTTTTAATTATATATATTATAATATCAGATTTCCTTCATATTCGAGTAACTTATTCTTATGTCGTAATCCAGATATCACATACAAGATGTTTCCAAATGCATTCACGAAAGCCTGTCATTTACAGAAATGTTCAACCAACATACGCTTTCTCTCAAGGTCACTGGCCGTAATATAAAAAAGGACTTTCCTTATCTATTGTTACAACGATTAATGTTTCATAAATGTCGTCTATTTTCTGTCAAGATATCTTGGTCCGTTACATTTCAGACAATAAGAGAAGATTTGTGGTTACATACCAAGAGGTTTGACGAGTCTTAAGTATTGATTGGATGATTTATCAGCACGAGGGGGAGTGGAAGAGATAGTAGCAGAAGGCTGAAATGAGGAGACAGGGATCTTGCCTACAGTTAACCGGTGGTTAGTGAAAAATTTAAACTGTTGCCAGTTAAAAAAGATTTTTCAGATCAAAATTTATATTTAGAAATCTAAAGCTGTGAAATGATAAGGAATGTTCCATGATTGATTTCATTCGTTGTTGAAAAAAATGAAAATTTTATTGAATATTGATTAACTCAAGTCACTGATAAACATATCAGCACTGCTGTGAATGGATATTCCAGGATACAAATTATTCAGTTGACCTTTAAGAATTGCATATCCACTATCAAATAAGATCTGCTGTTGTCATGTTTTATGATAATGCTTTTTGTTGATAACTATGCAATTGACTTGTTTAAAAGGTGAGTCTAGACCTGAAAGACATCTGCCCTTAATATCACATGCGAATCTTAGAATGACGAAATAACTAAATCCATTGTTGGATTTTACTGTATCCAACTCTAAATTTATATCTTATGACGCTTTTCATTGGTCTTTTGTACAACCCTCAATCAAAATATCTTTGATAGAGCGTGGGAGGTTCTTACTTAGTTAAGAAACTTGAGGTTGGTAAATCCATGTGGTCGACAGGTAACTACAATACCTATTCACGTCATTTCTGGGAATCGAACCCAGGACATCAGGGGAAAGGCAAGTGCGTTACCACGTAGTGAAAATGACCAGATAAAAATAGGACACGAAATTAATTGAAGTGAAAATATCCGGCTTTTGTGCTTTACAAAAAGCCATACGCATTATGTATCCTGAAACCTAAAACTTCATAATTCTATATCAAAACGCATCAAGATATTTCATGCTACTACGAAATATCATGCCACACCAAATATTTGCAGAACTGAATTTTCATCTCATTAATTACAACAAGGTGGATGTTTGGACAACTGCCTTTTTATCACATTGATTACAACACGCTGAATGTTTTTTGACAACCGACTTTTCATCACATTTATTAAATCATGGTGAAGGTTTG